AGCAACTTGCAGCCACTTTATACAGAAAGCAGCAGTGATCCTTAACTCTGTTGCCCTATCAAGAATAAGACAGGACTGTCCATTCAGTGTGAATCAAGGAGTTAGCAAAAATGCACTTGACTGAATGAAACTGAAAAGTAGAAATTCCAATACAAAAGTCAGATATGATGTTTTTAATTTTATAGCAGCTATTTTGAATTCCAGAGGGTTCTTTGCATTAAGAAGTCCTTTCTTTACAGCACACCCTTGTTTTTATGTTTATACCTGAATTATGTTATCCTGTTCCCATCTGCATTCATCTACTTTCTTCTGAAGTACATCTTCCTGCTGGGACAGTTGGAGCTGATGGACATCCCAGAGAGCCATGGCATCCTGAACATAGTTGTACAAGCCTTCACAATGCTGCTCATGCCATTTAGCCATCTCCTTAAAATCACTCTAAAGAAAAACATTCAAGTGAACAAGTTCTTTTTAAACTGCTGGAAGGTGAAATGAATGAGTAAGAGGATATGTAACGTGATAAAAGGCTGCCTGGAATTACATGACTGGTATTCAACTTGGTGTCTTCTATTTGGAGAGTTAAAAAAAATGAAAAATCCAAGTAAACTGGGAAAGAATGTGGATTTTTGTAGTACAAGTTGAGAGTATCAAAACTTCTGTTTATTCTGGCATCATAAAGCACCAAATCACATTCTACAATTTATCACATCAGGAACAACTGCCCAGTCATTTTTATATATAGAATCACAAAAGATCAGATTGGAAGACATTTGGGAGATCATTTAAATATATTCCTCTGTCATAAGGCAGACTGGGTGGGCCATACGTCATTCATCTCTATCATATGCATTTCAGATATAAATTATAATAAAAATACAATATATTTATATTACAAATAATAAACACAATAATTATGAATTCTTCCACAGGAAGCTTTTCCACACCAAACTTTGCTTCTTTGTAGTGCTTAGTCACACTGTGGACCTCTTTCTAATGTGACATCAATAGCCTACAATGCAGAAGGCATTGCAGGTGGGAACACAGGAAGAAAGGACTAATCCCAAGGAGTGATAAAAATAAATGTAATAGACGCACATTCATGTGCTCCAGTTGTTCTTCAAACCTATGTTTTAGTTTCTCAGTCATCTGGAGCATGTTGGAATGCACAATTTCAACAGCTTCTACTGTGCAAATATCCAACAGGGTCATCTAAGTGAAAAGAATAGCAAATTATTCACATGCATATAAGAAATACTGCATGGCTTTCAGAGAAGATGGCTAAACTTAGTGTTTATTTGCTTGTAATGGACAGAGGGAAGATTCAACCTCCTAGAGCCCACATTCCGTTAGTAAACAAAACAATTCAGTTGGATATAAAGGGAGAAACTGAGGCAGAGAGGTGGAATTTCTTTGCCAAGATAAGATGGATTTAGCACAAAGGCTGAGGGTCCTTGCATCCTCCAGGTAAATGCAGGACAGCACCCCCTTCATTACTGGCATTTGTTACAGCTTTTACACATTTCAAGTACCTTTTGAACAGAGTAAGAGGTTAAAAACTTGTTATCTCAATGTTTGGCGGATCCTCAAACATATTTTACTGTAATGACATATCGTACCATCACTTCCACACCCAAAGCTGACACTCACCTTGCAGACCTGCGCTTTTTCCTGACATTTGTCCTGGACCAGCTCATACTGGATGCGCATTTTCTCCATGCACTCCACATTAGGTGTGTCTGAATGATATGGAACAGACCACGGTCAACATTCCTGTACTTCACAGTGCAGTGTGAAAAGGAAACATGACAGCAGCCCTGTGCTGAATCTCAGCACAGGGACAGATGCCAGCAGTGTCTGCACACCACTGTGACACCACCAACCAATCAAAAGAGACACCTTAATACACAGCTGTTTATAATTATGCTTCAAAGTAGCAAGTTATTTACAATTGCTACCAACCTCCATGCTACCATACAGGCTACAAAGCTCACTGTGCTCTGCAGCAAGAGAAGGCAGACACAGAGGGAAGGCATACTACAGGACTTGGAGAAAGGAATTATCTGCAATATTTCCCCTCTTCTTCTCTGAGAGTTAAAAAGGAGGATTTTTTTAGGATTGAGAACTGATCCATGTCAAAATTAACCTTCTATTTCCCCCAGATTAATTCTAACAAGCCAGTTTCTGCTAGATCTCACCATGACTAAGTGTTTGCACTGGCCAAAGGAAAGTGATGTCACAGGCAGCTTCTTTGGGTCTTCCTAGTAGCCAGCTCAAAGCAACAGAGAACGTAAGTGGGAACATATAGAATAAAGAATTGAGCAAACATGCACTTTCACAGCAACTGTCTGCCTCATTGTTGCCTGGGGAAAAAGAAAGGATTGCTTGAATTCCAAACTGGTTTTATGATTTCTCAACTTACCAATACTCCTGTTTAAATTCTCCAGAGTTCTGTACCATTCATTTATTATGTCAGATTGTGTATGTTTTGGAGGCAACAAGGTGCTATCAAAGTAGGAAACAAGAGTCAGGTATCTTAAAATACAAATCAGTCCGTACTTAAAATATAAAATTATGAATCAGAGTATCCATACTACTGTGCATTATTTTATTTAAAGCCATTTTGGCAATGAAAATAAACCAAAGAGACTGTTGTTGTTTGAGGCCAACTGTTTACTGCCTGACAAGGAACTAAGTGTAATTCCTGCATGTAGGAATGTAATTGTTCCTACATACACTGTAAAAAAACTCCCTGTAAATATTGCAATACGTTACACCCAAAAACGCTTCTTGTGTTCAGGATGGATATTCAAACACAGCAGTGTTGGATTTCTATGCAGACTCCTCTCTTAATTTATTACACAAATAAAATCCCACAGAGAAAAAATGTCTTGACATACCAACTTCTAGTTCTCCACCCATTCCTACCCCATTTCAAATGTCAGTAAGATTTACTTTTGCATTCCTGCATTTTTAGCCCTTGATCACCACCTATTTAGTGTAGCTGGTGCAGTGAAAATCAAGAGTGCATTTTTTTCCATTAAAAAGAGCTGTACAAAAATAGGTTTAGACCCTGCCTTATTGCTGAATTTAACAATCACACACTGACAGGAAGCAAAGTGCATTGTGTAGCCAAGTCCCTCATTAACTCCAGAAAGAATTGTTTCCCTTTATGCTATACCCTCTTCTGCCATACCCAATGTGCTGCAAAACTCTCAGTCTCTGTTCACTAAGTACAATCTGCTCCTTTATCATATTTTCCATTTCTGTTTTCACAGTTGGGGGATTCTGTATTTCTTCACTTGCCGTAAATTCTCTGCAGGATGGAAATGCAGGATGGAAAAAAGATATGTATAATGGAAACATGATATATGTGATATCATATGTGATATGTATAAAGAAAAAATGATAAAGTATTACTTTTATAGAAACTAGTCACTTTGCGTTATTCATTGTCCAAAATAAGACTGCAAAATTTCTGACCTGAAACTCTGAACTATGCAGTTCTTTTGGATGAGCTTCCAGACCTTGACTCTCTCTTGCCATTTCAGTTGATGCAATTTGTCTTTCTCAAGCTCTGATTTCATTACATTAAAGAGCAGCTTGGCAGTTGCCCTCTCATTACCCAGCAGTACTCTGTTTATATTCTGTGTATTAAAAAATAAAACCAGGAGTAGAAGCATTATACAACATGCAAAAACCAAAAAAATTGTATCTTCTACAGAACATGAGGGGAAAAAAAGGACACAAATGATAATGGATACCCTGCCAAGTCGAAATCTCTTCTATATTTCAGTGATTGATAGGCAGAAAAAATGCATTTCAGTTGGGGAAAAAAAAGACATTCTAGGAATATTCAGACTGATATCTTGCCCCAGGTAAAACATTTACCATGGCCTTATTGTTAATGAGCTG